GGGATTAGCAGTTGAGGGAAACTGCCAGGGGAGGGAGGGGCACACCTCATCAACAAGGATACCTGCATAATGAAGATTTGTATGCCCAACCCTGAATTGTACCCCACATCTTTAAAATAAAGGAAAAAAGAAAGAAAGGAGAGCCTTTAGGGTAGAAGCTATAGGCCAGGAGTTAGAGCAGGTTGGTCTAAAGGATGAGAAGAGTGAAACAGCACTAAGCGAGAATCAAGCACAGTGTATCACATTATGAACATTCTGATAGCCCTGTGGTTATATCAAAAGTGTCATCTCAGTTCACCCTCAGAACAGTCATAGCAGTTAGAGCTTCCAGGCCCATTTTGCAGATGTTGAGACTGAGGACGGTAAGACTGCCCAGGATGCAAGTGGCAGACTGACAATTTGAACCCAAGTGCATCTGGCTCCAAATCTATGCTTTAACATTATACCGTTTCTTCAAAGACAGAGGTCATTGGCCCCGCTTCAGCAGTCAAAGAGTGTATGACTCTTTGCCCATATAGCTTGTTTTCATTTGTACCTACTCAATTCCTGGCATGGTGTCTAGCTATGGAGGCTGTAAAGATGAATCAGGCACAGATCAACACCACAGAATCGCCTGTCTGCAGGGATGTCTTAACCACGATAACAACCCTATAATCTCAGTCTGTCTCACAGCTGCTGCAGTGCCATGTGGGCCTGGGAGGTTCTTCATGCCAGGATCAGGGATCTAGATCCTTTCATCGTGTAGTCCCACCCTACAGAGACCTATACACACAGTCACTCAGACAAGAGAGCCAGTAATACTGTGGAGAAATTATAACAGCCAGGTCTGGGAGTAGCAGACATCATTGCTGCCCACAGGATTTTCAGGAAGAGTACATGTGGTTATAACAACGTAGCCAGGCTCTGCAACACAGAACAAAGTTGATGTCCTGTTCCTGAAGGGGTGAGTAGACTGCAATGTGCCTTCTGCCCTAGATGGTCAACTGTGCATTCCAGAGCAGTGACGTTCTCTACCCACAAAGGACGGGGAGGGCTGGAAAAGCTCACCTTCTGGGTCAAGCTAAAGACTGTCTTGCCCAAGCATTTTACTCCTTGTCAGACTCCTGTTACCAGAGCCCCAGTGACAGCGGGAGTGGTACTGCTCAGTGCCCTTCCTTGTCTCCATGCTTTCAGTGTGCCCTGATTTCCTCCCACAGGTGCAGCCGCTGCAGAAGAGGGCTGTTAATCTTCAGGATGAGAACCACAGAGAAAAGGGCAGCCTCAGTGCAAAGGCCCTGACTGTGACCCACAGCTGGGGCTAATAACAAGAACCACACTGCCCAGCGCTTAAAAAGTAAGGCTGCAGTCCTCACCCCTAATACATTATTGAAGACCTCTCTTTTCCCGCCCTCAACCTCTTTTTCTCACTCTTACCCCCTCTACCAGATTCTCAGCATCTGAGTATCACACAGCATCGTAGAGCCGGATTTCACGAACGTGACTGCTGATATGGTTCATCTGGAGTGCTTGCTAAATATATAGCCGATCAGGCTTCTCCCCTGGGAATTCTAATTCTGACAAGGAGCTCAGCAATCTGTATCTTCTAAGAGTTCCAGGTAATTCTCACCCTCAGAAAAGGTTAAAACCACAAACAAAACAACACTGATATGACGCATGTGGCCATGGAAAATAATTTCTGAAAGTTTCCTAGCTTGAAGATACAATTCTATGTCATCTTTAACACCATTGCCTTAGAGTCCTGTTAACAACTGACATCTGTGCATTACTTCACTGGAGTCTTGCAGTCACCCTGGGGGTTAAATGGAAAATGGATCCGGAGAAGGCTAGTGACTTGCCCAAGCTTGTCTAGGAGAAATGATGAAGCTGAGATCAAGCCCAGGCTCTCTGACTCCAAAGCCGCTACTCGTACCCCTTCATTATCCCGCATTCCTTCACTGGGGAATCTTCATCGTGACCAGCTGACTGCCAAGGGCTGTGGCAGGGCTGTGAAGGCAGGCCACACTGTGAAGCTTCCCCTCTGACATCCCATCCACCTGCGCCAGACAGGGAGGAGAGGACAATGACGCAGCTGGGGAGGTGGGCTGAGGAGCTGGGCGAAAACAGCAGGCATGACGCTGAGTTCTTCTGATCGGGGTCACAGGAGACTGGAGCATTGGGGGCTACCCAGGAGGGGCCATGGTCTGGACTCTAACGAGTAGCATGGCCTGGAAATCATTAAAGATCGAAAAAGTCAAGGAACCAAGTCCACAGTAGTCAGCCACAGTGTTGGTGACTCCTGCCCCAAGGCCCAGGCACTTGGCCTCTGTCCTGTCCGCTGCCAGGTATGAGGGCTGCATTTCCAAGGGCGTACCCCTACTGCAGCTGCTGCAGCAGGCTCCCCGGGCCCTCTTCCTTTAGGTCACTCTTCCTATCCTGCTTCTTCTCCAAGTCCCAGGCCAAATGCCTATTCCTCTAGGCAGTCCCAGGCCTGCACTTCCCTCAGAGTAATTATCATTGAACCCTTCACAACATGCTCTTTGGCACATAGGTGGGCAGGAGCCCAGGTCCAATTCTAACTCAAAACTGAAGGAGCCACAGAAGTGTCACAAATGTATTTGAAAGCCTGCTGTGAAGGCCTTCCCAGCTCTTTGTGAGCCATCTTTCACCCAGGCTCCCTATGGCTGGCCAGAGCTCACACTGTTTCCACCTACTTTCTGCCTCTCTTGCCCTGATTTGCAATTCTCCCTCTCTTTTTCTTTTTATCTTTCCCTTTCTCTTTCTCGTTTTCTCTTTTTTTTGTCTCTCTTTTTTGTTTGTCTTTTTCCTTTTCTCTTTCTCCTTTTTTCTTTCAATTTATTTTCCTTTTTCTTTGTCTTTTTTCTCTTTCCCTTTCTTTTCTTTTCTTTTTTGTTTTTTTGAGTTGGAGTCTCACTGTCACCTAGGCTGGAGGGCAGTGGCACACTCCTGGCCACCACAGCCTCTACCTGTTGGGCTCCGGTGATCCTTCCACCTCAGCCTTCCAAGTAGCTGGAACTACAGGCGCGCGCTACCACGCCCGGCTAATTTTTTGATTTTTATTGTAGAGATGAGGTCTCACCAAGTTGCCCAGGCGGGTCTCGAACCCGCGGGCTCAGGCAATCCACTCACCTCGGCCTCCCAAAGCGTGGGATTACGGACTGAGCCACCGAGCCTGGCCTCTTTCCCTTTCTTTGTCTTTCTCTTTTCCTTTCTCTCCCTCTTTCCCTTTCTTTTTCTTTCTTCCTTTCTCTTTGTCTTTCTCTTTTCTTTTTTCTCTTTCTCTTTCCCTTTCTGTCTTTCTCTTTCTCTTTTCCTTTTACTTTTTTTTCTCTTTCTCTCTCTCCACCTTTTCCTTCCCTACCCTATACACACACATATATGAGGGGGGACCCCAAAATTCAGAATTATCTTTTTGAGGGTGGGCATCTTGGAGGAACTCAGAATTTATTCCTTGGCATCAGACCGTCAAACAAAATTTTTATCTGAAAGTTCTGAGAAGGTCGCATCACAATTTGCAGAAGAAACGTCCTGAGTTGTGGCAAACAGGTGTCTGGTTCTTCTACCATGACAATGTCCTGCCCACACCACTCTGAGTGCTCAGCAGTTTTTGACCAAAAATGGCATGGCCTCTGTGCTTCACCCTCCCTGTTCACTGGATCTCACTCTGAGCAGCTTTGTTTGCTTGTTTCCCCAGTTGAACATGTCCTCAAAGGGAAACATTCTGCTGATGTAGAATAGGTGAAACCAAAAAATGACAGAAACACTAAAAGGCATCAAAATGGACGAGTTCTTAAACTGTTTCGAGCAATGGAAAAAGTGTCTCAATAGGTTTATTGCATCAGCAGAGAGTACTTGGAAGGTGGCTGAAGTTTAAACATGTAAAAATAAAGACACAATTTTTTTATAAATAAATTCAGGATTTTTGGGGGTCCCCCCTCATATATCTCACAGACTCAAATTATCTTCTAGTAAGGTTTCTCTTTCTCTGTAACACTGTCTAACATGCAGTGTTTACCTGTACAGTGACCACTTGTATACCTAATCCTGAATTGTACCCCACATCTTTAAAATTTGAAACAAAAAAACATGCACAGTGTTTTTCTAAACTCCACCAACTCTCTTACTCTAACACCCTCATGAACTCATTCTCATTTTTGCACAGACACACATACACATTCATTGTCATCACATGCTGAGGCACATGTGGAGGGGAAGTAAGTCACACTTGCTGATGTCCTGTTTCCTGGCAGCACATACGTTGCCCATCACCATGACCAGCTCTTGTCAATATGTCTGTTTCCTCTCTATTGAAGGTCATGGCCCACAGCGGGCAGCCGGTGTGACTTGAATCCACCTAACGGTCTTTCCATTCAACTCCTGCTCTCCGCTGGTTTCCCTCCAGATCCTATGGCTCAGAATGTGCTGGAAGAGGTTTACACCCAACAGGGGGAAACAGAGTTCACCGCAGCATCCGCTGCAGCTGTGCGAACTTCGCTGAGGAGTGAAGGAGTCTCAGTTTGTCTCAAAATCCTGACTAAAGCTCAAAGCTAAAATTGGTGGCCACAAATGGTACCTGGATCCCTTAGTTCATCCCTCACCTCCAGCATAGATCAGCTTACAAGAGTCAAAGTAAATGTGTCTTTGTTATCTGCCTCGCAGGAAGTGTGTGGTATCTCCTTCACCCTCCCTGGCAGGGGCACAGGGTGTGCACTTGCCCCACCGCAATCCCCAGGGAGCTGCCTGTGACTGTGGAATGGAAAGGGACACCCACCTCTCAAAAGGTGAGGCAAGGGTGTAGGTTTTCCCATGGGTTAAGTGGATTCATCAAAAGCAGCTAAGTTGGAGCCTTCTTGAAAGGACTCCTCACCCTACACCCCCATCCCCAACCACACAGGAGGACTGCCCACAGGCTGAAGAGATTTCAGCAGAAAATCTTGAGGTAATTACTATGAGCCAGAGCTTGGGGACAGTTGTTGACAGCCAGCCAGAGAATGCATCACCCACTCAGGGGGCTGTGTGGTATCAGATCCCCAAGAGGGCCAGGGATGTGGCTTGAAGGACGCATAGAATCTCCTTGAGCATTTGGGCCTCTGCCACACAGACAGCATTGGGCCCAGTGACACCAGGAGCTGTCAGTGAAGAATATTTCCCTCTTACTTTTTCTCCTCACCCATCCAGAAGCAGTAGGTGAGTGAAGAGGAGAGAGCAGGAGCCAGGAGGCAGACTCAAAGAACAGGCCACATCTCCCTCCCCAAAGGCAGGAAGCTGACCCTGGGGCTGCCCTGGGCTGAACATTAGAGGACAAACTTGGAGTTAGGTAAGAGAGTGAGGTTTTAATTTAAATCAAATCGAACTTTTTTATTACTCCAAAAACCAGTCTGTTCTGATACTCCATATTACCCAACTCTGTAAAAGCTTCTGTCTTTGTTTGAGATATTATCTAGGAATAGAAAAGGGGTTCCCAACAGAGCTGATTTGAAGAGCAGTGGGGGGTGGTGTGAATAAAGTTATTCTTGGATTGCAGTCTACCAAGTTCAATCCATTCAACACATAGGTAGGTTATACTTGTAGTTCAGACGTGCTCAGATGTAAGGCATGCTAGAACCATGATGGGGAGCTGGGGGGTGGTTATTAAATGTGCACTCTGAGCTGGGAGGAGAAGCCCGAAAGAAGAGGGCTGGGGAAGTTGACCTGGCTCGGGACAAGTATGTGGCCCCCAGCCCAGCTCCCAGTCTGGTTCTCCACATCCCTGTGTGGGGCAGTCCGACTATTCAGGTAGATGATCCAGCAGTAAGGTCCAAGGCTCAGAGGTCAAAGATTTTAGAGGCTGTGAGGTGACAGATCCAGCTCTGGAAGATCCCAGACAATGGACAGAGGGGATAGGTATATTCCATCAGCCAGGAGACAGTCAAAGGGAGTTAAATAGAGCACCTAGGTCTCAACCAAATTCACGGGGGTTCAGGGAGAAACTTCCACCCAAAGACAGGACTGAAGAATTAAGAAGCATAACCGGTGAGTTACAAGGTAGAAACCAGTCCTATGGTATGGAAGGAGGCAAGAGGGCTGGTTCAGTGGAGAGACTCTGTTCCATGAGTTTGCTTCCCAGGACTATTTCCTCATGTCCCCTCTCCTCTCTGCTTAGCTCTGACTGGGTAAAATCTGTTTCTTATCCTACTGTTGTTTTACTGTCTTTTTCTGTCTCCCTCACAGGGTTTCAGGAAGGGTCTATCTAAGAGTGGGGATTTAGTAAATGTTTCATGAGTGGAGCAAGTGAATGAATGAATGAGTGAATAAAGAACTACATAGGTGCCTTGGGCTAGCTCCTGGCAGCACGGAGGTCCAGAGTTGGGTTAGCAAAGAACAGACCTTAGAAAGTGGGTTAGAGCCGGGCTCGGTGGCTCAGCCTGTAATCCCGCGCCTTTGGGAGGCTGAGGTGAGTGGATTGCCTGAACCCGCAGGTTCAAGACCCACCTAGGCAGCGAGACCTCGTCTCTACAATAAATCAAAAAATCAGCCGGGCGTGGTAGCGCACACCTGTAATTCCGGCTACTTGGAAGATTGAGGCGGAAGGATCGCCGGAGCCCAGCAGGTCGAGGCTGCGGTGGTCAGGAGCGGCCACTGCACTCCAGTCTGGGTGACAGAGTGAGACTTCAACTGAAAAAAAAAAAAGAAAGAAAGAAAGTGGGTTAGGGAAGGAAGATGCCAGGGAACCCAGTGGGAAGTTGCTGAGGAAGGGAGAGATCAGGGAAGCAAGATGGCAGCAAATATTGTGCCCTTTCTACAGTTTTCCACGACTGACCTTGGAGCATAGAGGCCATCACAATGCAAGTACATCTTCTATATGAAATATGTCACAGATCACCATTTATCAATGGTGCCAGGCACTATGGCACTACGACTTATAGGTGGAACACTCCCATCCAAGGGGGCATATGATCCAGCTCTTACTGAATCCATCCCCAGTGAATCACAGCCACAGAAGAATAATGTCATTTGGGAACATATGCTAAGAACACCTTCCCAATAAAATTCTCTAAATTAAAAGGCGGTGTTTAAATCAGGGTGAACATATCAATACCAATGAGATGCAATTGATTCCAGCTACTAGAGGAATAAATCAAGCCCGTATTACCATGCATGTCCATGTGACTGCAGAGAGTCAAGCAGGACAGACGAGGGGAAAGTGGTCAGACACCACACCCCACGTGATTTCAGATCTCGGAGCCTCATGCCAAGATTCTGCCAAACCGTATGGTATCCAAGAGATGGAAGTTAGATAAGAAAAGCATATGGCTAGGGTTGGGGGTGGGGAGGAATTGCACGAGAAACAGACTTGCTTTTCCAGAAGAGGTCTGCTTCGGCATCAGACTGTTGAGGCAAAAATATGCTGTTTAAAACAAATTTTTTAAATGTCCTCAGTATTGCCTTTTCACACCAAGAACTGTGTGCTGAAGGGGAGGCCACATCCAGCCTCTACCCTACACACACAAAGCACAGACACACGGCTGGGCTCACACAGGGAAGGGAGCCCCAGGAGTCCAGACCCTCTTGGGCACTGTCAGAGGCATCTGGCAGAAGTAACTTGATTACTTGATTCAAGACCCACACGACATGTTTTGCAAGTATAATTTTTTTTATTATTTCTTTGGGGGTAAAAAAAAAAGTATACACATAAAATTAACTTTTAGCATATTTTTAGTGTGTTTGCCAACTGTTACATGGGGGAGGGGTGTCAGACTTGGTTCTTAAAATTATGTATTTAAAAAGTGGTCATAAGTAATTTGAAAAGAAAAGAAAGCTATCACAGAAAGCCAAAAGGCTATTACCACTGGGTGAGGCAAAGCTAATCTAGGAATTTCCGAAGTGGATAAATATGAAGCTCCGAACTGGGTCAAGTGATGCATATCCAAGCAACGGCCTGCCGTTCCATATTTAACATGAGACTGGGCCATATATCTAACAATAGTTAAGACACTGTGTGCCCAAGGGCATTCCTTGGTTCAATAAGATATGTAACACTGAGCAATTCAGCTTCTCTCAAAATTAATTAAGTTTTGGAAGACCTACAATATGCCTGCTCCTATGCTAAATTTCATAATCATGTACTTTTTGAAATCCTCTTCATAATCATAAGGACATAGAAATTATTATTTGCCAATTCTGAGCGAAGAAACTGACTCAAAAAAGTTTTATAACCTTCCCAGCATCACACAGTGTCCTGGAACATCAGGACTGGCCAGGAGATGGAGCGTCTGAAATCAGGAAGAGCAATGCCAAGCCAGGACACCAGCAGAGGGAAGAGAGGAAGCCCGGATAGAGCAACAGCTGGGACATGTGAGATGCTGCCCAAGCTGGCCTCATTTTCCCTTCATCCACCTGGAAGGCGGACTTCTTCCAAGGCGCCTTGAAGATCTCCAAAAACCTTCTGACACTCAGGAAAGCTGACTCAGGATTCAAACACAGGAGTGATGTTGATGATGATGATGAAGAGATGATGAAGGATAATGGCAATGACTAGTAGAAGCATGATCTATTGAGCTATTTCTGTGAGCCAGGCATGGCTAGATACTTCACAATCTTTATCTCATCTTGTTCTCTCTGTAACCTTGTGAGGTAGAGGTTACCATTAATCTCCACACTACAGATGAAGAAATTGAGGCTCACAGGAGGATGGGTTCCCCAAGGTAACACCGCTAGTGGGTAGTAAAGCTGAAGCCCAATCCCAGGCCTCGTGACTCCAAAGGCCATGCTCTTAACCCATGCACTCGGTGGCTTTCCCATAGCAATCTAGCCACAAGCCCCAGGGAGGAATTTGACCAAAGTAATGCCTCAGATTCCATGCAGATATGAAATGCTATCACAACGACTTGGTCATTTTCACGACAGATGCATTCAATGTATGTTTGCCTTTTGCATTTTAGTTACCTTTGTTGTTGGACAGAAGTTTTTCGTTTTATGGGCCCAAACTTGAAAACTTTTCTCTTATGATTATTTTTTCTGCAACTTCAATACTTGGTAAGATATTCTGCTAGAGTGGAAAAAATGTATATAACAACTGTATTTTACTTGAGTCTGTTTTCTGGCTGTACGTTCTTTTAACTCTTGATTCCATCTGGAATTCATTTTGATATATGGTAGTAATCAAATTTTAGATCCACTGACCTAGCTAACACTATTTCTGACAAAAGCCTCCTCATTGCCCCTTTCTACAATTATTACCACAGACAAGCCATTCTTCTTTCAAAGCTGAAGTTTTCCAAATGCTTTTCTAATCATTTGATTTCCTGCCAATATATCCATGAGTCTCAATATTCCTAAACTATATTAGACTATATTATTAAACTACATTAAACCTTTTATCAAATAAGTTTGACCAGAAAGAAGACTTGCTAAGATGGTGACTCATAGCAGATCTCTAATGTCCCCATTTTTCACATGTCCAGGGAAATGATCAACTTTAGTTAATACTCCATTAGCAATTTGTAGACTGACCCTGCTGAAGATAGCTAAGATTGGCATTCCCCCAAGGTGTCTACAGCATTTCACAGACAACTGATAAGTGCTAATTATCAGTGGACAGGCAAAGTGCCCAGCTACAGAGGCTGGATGCCCCAAGTGAGGAAACAGTAAAATCACCACATCTATGTCATAAGACATAGAGCTGCAGGTCAGAGGAGAGAAAGAATCTTTTTTTTTTTAAATGCTTTTATGAAATAGATTTCCCCCAAGAAACAGGACAAAATTTGAAACATTTTTGAGTCTTTTTTCTTTTTTTGAAAGAGAAAGAAAGAGAGGGTCTTACTCTGTAACCCAGGCTGGAGTGCAGTGACACAGTCACAGCTCACCGCACCCTCAAACTCCTGGGCCAAAGTGATCCTCCCATCTCAGCCTCTCAAGTAGCTAGGGCTATAGGTATGTGCCACAAGGCCCAGCTAATTCTTTTTTTTATTTTTTATTTTGGTAGAAATGAGGTCTTACTATGTTGTGGTGGCTGGTTTTTAACTCCTGGCCTCAAGTAATCCTCCTACCTTGTCCTTCCAAACTGCCAGAATTATGGGTGTGAGCCACCATGTCTAACTGCACATTCATGAGTTTTATGCTCAGTAAGGTTAAAAAATATATTGCATCTATGAAAGTAAATCAGGCATAAGAAGTAACAACCTAACATCAGGAAAGACTGAACAGGGATGAAAACAAAACTGTGGAATTAAAGCTGTAATGGACAGGTAGATACTACAGAAAATTTGATTACCAAAGTGGAACATGAATGAGAAATTCAAAAGACTATGCAGAAAGATAAACTTTTTTTTAATGTATGAAAAGAGGAGAAACATTGAGGAAATCCAGTCTACATATGACCCTAATGCTCACACTAGTCTAGCTTTTTAAAATAACAGCTTGGCCAGGCGCGGTGGCTCAGCCTGTAACCCCACCACTTTGGGAGGTCAAGGCAAGAGGACTGCCTGAGCCCATGGGTTCAAGACCAGCCTGGGCAATTTGGTGAGACCTCGTCTCTACAATAAGTCACAAAAACTAGCCGGACGTGGTAGTGTGCATCTGTAGCTCCAGCTACTTGGAAGGCTGAGGTGGAAGGATCGCCTTAGTCCAGCAGGTGGAGGCTGCGGTGGCTGTGAGAGTGCCACTGCACTCCAGCCTGGGCGACAAGAATGAGACTTCAATTCAAAAATAAATAAATAAAATAACAGCTTTATTAAGATATAATTTGCATATCCTACAATACAGCATTAAAGTGAACAATTGAGTCGATTTTAGTATACGTACTTAGATGTGCAGCCATTACCACAATCAATTTTTGAATATTTTCATCACCCCAAGAGAAACTTCATTCCCTGAAGCCCTTAAACACTCATCCCTGCCAGCCCTAAGCAACCACTAATATACCTTCTGCCACGGTAGATTTGCCTACTCTGGACAGTTCATATAAATGGGATCATATAACAGTTGGCTTTTTATAACCAGCTCCTTTCTTTTAGAGTAGTGTTTTTGAAGTTTATTCCCATAGCAAGCATCAGTACTTCATTCCTTTTATAATCAAATAATAGTCTATTGTATAGATAAACCACATTTTGTTTATCTCTTCATCAGTTGGTGGACACTTGAACTGTTTTCCCCTTTTAGCTTTTATAAATAATGCAGTTTAGAAACATCCATGCACAAGGTTTTTTGTAAGTTTTTTTTTTCCTCACAAATATGTTTCCATTCCTCTTGGGTATCTACCTAGGAGTGGAATTGCTGGGTCATATGAGAAGGTTATGTTTAAATTTTTGAGGAATTAAAAGACTGTTTTCCAAAGCAGTTGCACCATTCTACGTTCCCACATGAGTAGTGTATGAGTGTTTCAATTTCTCCACATCCTTGTCAATACTTGCTATTATCTGTTTTTTTAATTACAGTCATTCTAGTAGGTATGAAGTAGTGCCTCACTATGGTCTTGATTTGCATTTCCCTGATGACTAATGATGTTGAGCATCTTTCCATGTGCTTTTTTGGCCATTTGTATATCTTTTTGCAGAAATATCTACTCAGATCTTTTATCTGTTTTTAATTGTGTTATTTGTATGTTAATTATTGAATTGTAAATTATTTAAATATTCTAAATACAAATATCTTATCAGACATACGATTTACAAATAGTTTCTTCCATTCTGTAGATTATCTTTTTACTTTACTGATGGTGTTCTTTGAAAACTTTTGAAGCACAAAAGTTTTTAATTTTAATGAAGTCCTACTCACCCATATTTTGTTTTGATGCTTCTGCTTTCATTGCCAAGAGCCCATTGCCAAGACCATTAAGATTTATGCCTATGATTTCTTTAAAAATTGTATAGTATAAGCTCTTACATTTAGGTCATTAACCCATTCTGAGTTAATTTTGTATACTGTGTAGTAAGAATTCAAACTCATTTTTTTGCATTTGCAAATTCATTGATCCCAGCACTACTTCTAGACTTTTTGAGTCACTATGCCCTTTCCCCAGCTGGAGCCATGTATGTACATAAACAGTCTTGCCACTTGAGCCCCAAGTGATGCACCAGGAAGCAACTGCAAAGGTATGAAGGAGACCAGGAACTTTTAAGATGGCATGATACACACACTACTTACAAGGCACATTCCACATAAGTGGCAGCAAACTGACCGATCCAATCCTCTACTTTGGGAAGTATAAACACTCCCACGAAGTTTGTGAGATTAATGGGAACTCTAGATGACTATAATTTATCGCACCAACTATCATTTTGGCTAAGACAGATCATCTTGATCTAATGCTACATTTTCTAGCAAAATGGGCATAATATTTGTATATTTTCTCACATCTTCTCAGCATTTATTAAGGCAACAATAAAGGGACTTAATGTGACTCTATGTATATAATAGCTTATTGTAATAACTTCCTAAATGTAATCTTTTCTTTATAGGATAAACTACTTGGTTCTGCTGTGTCCTCTTAGTTCACTTATCTATGTTTTTTAAACATTTAACAAGATTGGTCTAAGATTTCCTTTTTATGCATCTCTCTTGAAAATATTTAAAATATGATACTTTTTGTTTGACTTCAAACTCATCAGGAGGGTTCTTTTTGAGATTGAATCATTTTATGTATTTATTTTCAAGAAACCCATTTCTTGGAGAAACTCTAATTGCCCATGTTATTAGCTTTTAATTTTTAGTATTCTGCATATCTATCATTATCTTACTGTCTGAGCTTTACCTTTATATTCATTTTTTCCTTCACCTTTATCTTGATTAAAATTTCCAGAATTTGTCTTTTGTTTTAAAAATCAGTTCTAATAACTATTTGTAAATTCTGTTTTCTATTTTTATTTCTTTCCAATTATTTATAATCACCCTATTTATACTTTTTGCTTTTTGAGGTGTTGTTTTTTTTTTTTTTTTTTTGAGCCAGGGTCTCACTGTGTCCCCCAGACTGGAGTACAGTGGCATGATCACAACAATCATGGCTTAAGGCAGCTTCGACCTCCTGGGCTTATACAATCCTTTCACCTCAGCCTCCCAAGTAGCTAGTACTACAGGCACGTACCACTATACCCAGCATACTTTTTTTTAATTATATGTAAAGACAAGGTTTTGTTATGTTGCCCAGGCTAGTCTTAAATGCCTGGGCTCAAGCAATCCTTCTGCCTCAGCCTCCCGAAGTGCTGGGATTATAGGCGTGAGCTACCATGCCTGGCTTGTACTTTCTTAATGTTAGTTTTCCATTCATTTTCAAGCTCCTATAATATTTTTTCTACTCTGATCTTTATAAATGGACATTTATAAAGCTGCATAAAGGTATACTAATCTGTGATTAAATGCAAATATTTCATGGGGACTTGAAAGAATATACTTCCATTTGTATAATATTATAATAATGATGTGGCTTTAAATATTTAATTTTATCACTTATTAAATTACTTCTGTTATATAAGAAACGTGTTGAAATTTGTTATTCTCTAGTCTTATGCTGCCAATGGTTTTTCACTATGTATATTTTGACA